AATACATACTATTAATATTTATATATTTTCAATTATTTTGATATCTATGATTAAATGTATTAAGAAAGACAGTATAAGAATGTTTCAAAGAATTTTATAACAAGATGTTTTTTAGTTAAATTTTTTTTTAATAATAAATACATAATTAATCAAGGTTTATAAGAACATGATGCTATATAGCATATAGTATAAAAAGCAATTAAATAAATACTTGTACATTTTTTTAATTATATGATATCTGTAGGATATCTAAATGGTTACGTCTACATTACAATCATTAACTTATAATTGTTTAAATACATACTTATAAAGACTAAATAGTACTTGCATTGAAATTTTTTGAACTGTTTCATTGATATGAACATATGTATTCATGAATACATATGTGTGTATACATATAGAGGAGCGATACCACGAGCTAAGGTCACGTGGTTCACCCATCGTGTGTTCATGCTGATCATTTCAACCCGTGCGGTTGAACCATTCAGTTGTATTTGGAATTTTGTATAAATTACTTAATTCGGAAATAAGAATTTTAGATAATTCTCGGATGGTCTGGTATCACTACTTGAATATACAGTTACTATCGTACTTTTTTCACGTGGAACATGTATACTGTATCAAAAGGACCTAGTAAAATTGTCGCCAAGACACGAAGAGGTACGGGTATAACGAATATCATTTATATACACTTCAAAGTGAAATCGGTTATGACAATAGATTCTTGTAACATGGTATTTTCCCAGGAATCAGTCAGAATCTCGAGAGACTAGAAACATTACGTGATTTAACGAGGAAAGCAGATCCTGATGATAACCACGAGGCCACCCGGTAAGTAGGCCCTAACCCATCTTAACCCTACTTCATTACTTTTGTCCCTCTCTCTCTCGCTCTCTCTTTCTCTCTCTTTGTACTTTAAGCATTACGCAATTCATAATTCTCTATCAAAAACAGTCATGTTTAATCTCTATGTTATGTGTTAGAAAAAAATTGAATTATGATACATAAAATGTCATGCACAAAAATATACTTCAAAAAAGTTTATATAATGCAATTTAGAATATTTCTTATTCCATGTGCATGTATTAAAATCAATGTTCATTTTACAGACATGTGCCAAAACCAGTTTTTCACGTGAATGGAAAATCTAAACTCAGTACACATAGGCATCAAATGCAAGAAGTTATCACACCACAGCATGAAGAGCTTATTAAATTTGTTTATGAATGTAAGTTAAAAAAAATAAAATGTTATAATGTATAATGTATGTATAATTTTATGTCACAATCTTTCTGTGGGTAAAATATAATATATACACTATATATTATGTATATGTAATACTTATAAATAATTTTATACCTATAATATATTTTACATAACATACAATATTATATATCTATATGAAATATGTATTACAGTCATGGATTAATTTTTCAGCATGGAATCAAGTAAATACAAGGCAAGGGAGTGAGTCTTCTGATGTTTCTGACTGTTCAGAGCCTTCCAGTAAGTTATTTATGTATCATATGTGCAGAGCATTTTATATTTTATTCGTATTTACAAATGTATTTAGATAACTGTAATCTTGTTTATGTATAAGGTCAAGCCTACTATGGATTTTATGTAAAAATATTTAAAATATGTATTATTTTATACTTTTTCTATTTCAGGTCCTAATTCTATAGTATATTACAATGATGGTGAACCAAATGATAGCCTTCAAGGTAAGTTTAATTATTTATTTTAAGTACATAATACTGTAAAATCTTTGAAAAACAAAATTTACTATTTTATCATTATATTATTAGTTATAATTATGTATAAATTATATATATATATATATATATGTACACATATATACATACATACATATATATACATATATATATATATAATTTATTAAGTTAATTAAATTAATTATCAGTAAATCAAATATTCTTCTCTA